TCTTTACATGATTAATGCATAAGGGTCCTCACTTATGAGACTTTTTCTTTGTAATATCATCATGGGGTAAATACACCTTTAAAAATAGAACTTAAGGTATCAAAAATGCCATACAATAGAAAAAACAGTTACACTCCAGATGTTTTGCAACCTGCTCCCTACTTGAAAATGGTTTTGCTCTCTGGGCAAGATTTCCATATTTGCCTCACTCAATAAAACAATTCCATCTATCTTAGCCATGCCTGGCTATGGCTCTACCCCAGCATGTTATAAAGTATGTTCCAGAGTATGCTCTGCCAAAATAATGCTGATGTTAATACTAATACTAATAAATTCTTTACAGAGATTCTTTATGCTTAGTCTATTCCTTACTGGAGATACTTTATGCTTAGTCAATTTTTTACGGGAGATTTATAATACACATTAACATATAGTATATTAAATGCTCTACAAAATAATCTGAGAGAAGTGGGATTTTTCTTTTTTTTTTGACTAAGAAATTTCAACTCATTTAACCATGAGACTTTTTCTTCCCTTATAACACCTATTACCAACTAGAACATGACAAATGTTAACAAACAGAATGTACTTTTGGAGAAACCTGTGCCTTAGCATCAGTGCTGCCCCTTATGTCTTCTCACCTTTTTTCTAACTGGGATGGTGAGGGAAAACAAGAATGAGAGCATCAAAGGGAAATAAATGCAGCAAAAGTGACCGTTCCCAAGCCCTCAATCATCTCTACCTCTTCCTACCAGAACAGTGTGTATAGGCTACTGCAAGCTCTAAAAAGATGAGTCAGCTGACCAGTAGGAAAAGCTTCTTTTTTTCTGCAAAGACAATTTGTTCACGAACCAAGGATACTATCAATCAAGTCAATGGTGCAGAGAGAGAGAACAAACTAGTACTTCTATGATACTTACCTTAGGATATGGATACTGCTTTCCTTTGGGATACAATGCTCCGGTAAATCGAGGAATAATCATGTTAGGCACCAACGAGTCATTTATCATCAGGAAGGCAAGCCTTTCTCCATCTGGTGACCACCAGTGGGCAATATGAGAATGCAGAAGTTCCTCTAGAATAAATGAGTGTTATTTGAAACCAACTGTAGAGATGTGGGCTCAGTGACCCACAAACATCTGTCCTTGAAATCTCCATTGCACATATACATTTTTTTTCCTAAACGGTGTGTTGGGTTTTATCAACATCATGAAGAATTCTTTATTTCTGAGTTACCCATTTAGTCCCAGGGGAAGCAGGTGCAATGGAAAGAAAGGATGAAGCAATGAAGTCAGGATTTCACAGACCGTCAGCAAATGTGAAGAGAGAAGGTGAAAGCACTATTGGAATAAAAAGACTAAGAACAGTAACTGAAGACTGAGATATGGCATAAAACCATATTCATGTCACCATTCATTTATATTTGCATTCGATCATATCTCCATCATCAAACAAGTTGAATTTCGGCATTTGTCAATGCCTTGACAAACTAGATTCGTGAAATTATTTTGAGCTCTCAGGAAATAGAATAAGAAATATATTGGATATCATTCATGTGACCAGATCCACTATTCATTTGTCTATACCTGCCTTCTGTCCCAGTAAGTTAACTTGTATCAACTACAGTAAAAGGGCTGTCATGCTTTCCAGAGCATGGCCATTAGGGTACAATGGCAAGAGATTAGAAGGAGAAGAGTGAAATCAGAGTATTTGCTCCCTTGGCCTTATCCTGCAATGTCACTTCAGGCTTGCTGTATGTTTTAAATAATGTCACTACTCCTATGGATGCAGTCTTTTCCATGAAATGTTCTCCTTTTGTATCTTGTAATGCATGGTTCATCTCTATGGACATAGGGGTGGTATAATAGCTTGGTTGCTACTGGTCTAGATTATATCTCTGTCCTTTATGGTTTCACTTCATAAATGTGGTCTCGTTGTAAATAGATCTTCTTCAGAATGTGCCAGCTCTTTCCTTTTGGTACCTTGACAAATGCCATGAAGAATACCAGCAATAGACTCAGAAAAGGGACCTTTAAAGTGAGATTTTGAGATTACCTTGGAGATCTATATCTGTATCTATATCTGTATATCTATATCCATCTATATCTGCACTACCTTCGATGTAACAATCACCCTTCCAGGAAGGAATTGGAGCATAAATAATCCGTAGCAAAGGATGGAATCATGAGTAATCCACTGTCACTGGTGATGACACAGAATGAAATGCAGATAGAGAGGAAAGGTTTGGGGAGGGTAATTGGTGGTGGCACTTGATTTCCACAACAATGGCAACTCTAAAGATTATAAAGTGAAGTTCACATGGTTCATATGACACCTCAGGGAGAGTACATAGACATAAACTGAAATTGAAACCATGACTGCAAAATCAGGGATACAAAAAAGATCATCAGGGCATCTTTGAAGGAGTCTGTCTCTTCTGTAGTTGCAGGTAAGGCAGAGGTCCAAGAGTACACAGCAAGGGTTGCAGGGCTACAAGACAAATTTAGTGGCTCAACTCTGTGTGTGTTTGTTTGTTTGTTTAAGCTAAGACAGAGATATTAGCGGAGAAGTACTGGGACCCTGGCACATAGGATAAAGATGCTTAGGTAAATGTGTGCAGTATGCTTATGCTTTCTGGACCAGTCTCATAAATAAAACATTTTATAGTGGAATGTTGCTGTATGTGTCTAATTTTATGGCTGAAGATGCTGAACCTGAAAATTCCCACAAGTCTTCTTGCTGACAGAGGCAGCCTCTATCCAAGGGAGGGAGACATCCTCTGCATAAAGGCAGAGTGAAGATAAATCCCTGTAAAGTTTATGAGTTCTATATCCCTAGGGGAGAATTTGGAGATCTAGTAGCATAGTACACACCAAGATATATCTTCTAAAGTGAGAGAAAATTTGTTGGAATTGTACTCATGCAAAAGTGAAGAGGGAATAGATTCTTCAGATTCTGAAGAAACAGCTTAAAGCATATTCGCATATGATGCCCTGTTCTACTTCCCAGACAACCTGTGAAGCTGCCTGTTCTGAGCAGAGTCTGTGCAAGAAAGGGCTATGCAGCACATCAAGGCCATGGTACAACCCTTTCTGCCACCTTTACCTTGTGAACCAGCAGCTACAATGTTAATATAAATATTCATGGTAAACAGAGATGCTGTGCAGAGCTTCTGACACTCACTATATGGCAATCAAAACATAGATATTACAGGCTTTAGAGAAAGGCCATTTCCTCCTGTGCTGATTAATGTTCTCTATTTCAAAAGCAGATCTCTACTGGGGACTTGCAGAAGCAGTTAGTCTGACCATGGGATGCCAAGTGTCTATGCAACCCCGATTGCCCATCGTGCACTAAATGTTATCCGATTCACTGACCATAAAACTAAACACATAAAGCAATATCCCACTATAAAATAGAAGGGGTATATATGGGACTGGGACAGAACACAGAAGTAAAATGCCCAGAGTACTGCATCTTCTGCTTTACTCTGTCTCCTCAGCTCATGTCAAAATCTCAAGATGTGTTTTCTAATACACGTTGACAGGGGAGGAATAAATGCAGGCCTGGTTTATGGGCAGGTCTGTATGATGTACTTGAAGACTGTGAAATTGGATAGGCTCTGTACTACAGTCTGACTGAGGAACGGCATTAAAAGACCAAACTAAACATAAATCCTCCAAGTTGGCAGACTTTTGAACAAGATACTTAGTTTTCTACCTTTTGTGGAAGGAGAATTGGCTTGAAGCATGGGTCCACCCTGACTCATGCACGGTAACTAACAAAAGACCTGATCAGCGTTATGGGAAGACTAAAATTAGAAAACTAGTGACAAGGCAATGTAGGGAAAGATAACTGCATCCATCTATCAGGAGGGGTAAACATGTAAAAATGTGAAGATAGTAGTGTCCTACTTGATATCCTCTCCTCCACTGCATACCAGAGGAGGCTCTCAATCATCAGATGGACAATATGACTACTAAGTACAGGTCAGTCTGCTTGGGCTCCCACCATTACCTGCCAACAAGAGTGGCTGTCATTAAACTCTTGATATGGCATGATTTCCCAACAGAACCAGCTGGCTACCTGGTGACAGGTAGATCACATGGGAGCCATTCCATCAAGAATGGGTAGCATTTTGTCATTACAAAGACAGACACGTACTCTGGTTTAGATATGCCTTGGTTGCTTAAAGTCCTGTCAGCACTGCTATTCATGGGCTTACAGAATAGCGCACCCATTATCACAATGATTCACCCACATCACCACCGAACAGAAAAGATTTTATAGCAAAAAAGAAGGCAACAGGCTCAGACCATAAAATTCAGTGTTCTCCATTAGCTATATGTACCTGGCTTGATGGAAGGGTGAACTAGTCTTTTCTACCTCGGTTTTGGCCCTATAACAACCTTAAAGTTAGGATGTCATCATACATGTGTTTCTCTTGCATAGCCAGGAAGCACAGATCTGGGAACTAAGGGGTAGGAGTGTAGCATTCTCTTTCACCATCACCCCACTAACCCACTGGACACTGGACATATTTTGTTTCTTGTACTCAAGATAAGGAGATCAGTGGTTTTAGAAGTCCAAATGCTTGAGGGAGGATTGCTTCTAACAGGAAATGTCATAATCATGTTCCTCTGAATTAGAAGCTGAAATTTCCCCCTGACCATTTGGGGCTCAATAGGCCTGGAGGAAAAAAAAAAAAAACTGACAGAAAACATAGTCACTGTGTGTCTGTCTGATAATTAATCTCATCTGCCAGGAAGAATATATATGTCTTCACTATACAAAGGAGAGGAAAGAAAAAATATATCTGGACTCAGGAGATTCACAAATACTCCTTTGTTCAACTCTATCTCATTTTCCAATTCTACATTTTCCACATTCCAATTTCCATTTCAATGCAAAATTGAAATTGTAGCAACCTAATTAAGAAAAAGAAGCAAAGGAATAAGATTGGGCAGGGATAAAATTTTGGTTTGATCTACTAGGTAAATAACTTATGTAGTCAAAATGCTGGCAAAAGGTAAAGGCAAAAATGAATCATTAATTGACAAAGGAGCTATGATTACTAGGTAAGGCCTTATTTCTTGTTTAATGGGGGCATTTCCCCTGAAGCCTTATATGAAAAACACAAGTGTTGGCTGTAGTTATAAATTTCAGACAGGAATATAAACTGGACTGATGCCACTCTACAATGAAACAGTAGCAGATGGAATTTCATGTGTTCTTTCAAAGACACAAAGTTTTTGTTTAAGTAATAATAATACGACTTATCTCTGAGTTTTTGTTGGCCATGGCCAAGATGAAACCAGACAAATCAAATGAAGAAAATAAAGGTTTTTTTGCATGCTTTTTTATTTTCTTGGTTCTCACCCATTGGAATCATGTGAGTCTGGCTATGTTTCCCAACCAAAACTTACTGCTTCTATTACTGCAAAAACTATAGGATTCCTTCTTTGTAGGTTCTAGTAACAGCTTACGTACCCTTTCCATTTCAGGTGTTAATGACTAAATCATTACCAGCCATAGATTGCTACATATCCCTTGTCTTTGATAAGTGACCCCTTTGTTGATAAATTGTTTAATACTACTTTGAATGTGCCATTTTTTTTCCAAATGTAATTCTGATCCTGATTTGTACAAGTTACTTGCAATTCATATGAGGAGACCCATCCACAAGACACACTGAGGAAAAAAAAAGGCTAAATGCCAAATGGGTGTAAATTCTTGTGAGACTTAAAGGTACAGAGAGATCAGATTGCGTTGCCTAAAATCAACACTCAGGGTTTCTAAGAAATGGGTTCTATCCTAGCTGCAAATATGTATGCACAAGTACTGCCCAAGAATAAGAATGGCCCAGATTTGAGAACACTATTCAGGAGAAACTAGGTATCGTCTATTCTAATTTATTTTAGTGCGATCTATGTCTAAAGTTGTTCCTCACAAAAATGTTAAAATAGCAAACTAGTACACACAAAAAGTTATGTGACTTCCTTCAGGTACAAAAAATCAAGCTAACTGAAATGGGCAGGAGATAAATAAAAGAATCTTTAATATGCATCTGCTTAA